GTCTAGTCTATAGTCTAGTCTATAGTCTAGTCTATAGTCTAGTCTATAGTCTAGTCTATAGTCTAGTCTATAGTCTAGTCTATAGTCTAGTCTATAGTCTAGTCTGATAGTCTAGTCTATAGTCTAGTCTATAGTCTAGTCTATAGTTTAGTCTATAGTCTAGTCTATAGTCTAGTCTATAGTCTAGTCTATAGTCTATAGACTATAGTCTAGTCTATAGTCTAGTCTATAGTCTAGTCTATAGTCTAGTCTATAGTCTAGTCTATAGTCTAGTCTATAGTCTAGTCTATAGTCTAGTCTATAGTCTAGTCTATAGTCTAGTCTATAGTCTAGTCTATAGTCTAGTCTATAGTCTAGTCTATAGTCTAGTCTATAGTCTAGTCTATAGTCTAGTCTATAGTCTAGTCTATAGTCTAGTCTATAGTCTAGTCTATAGTCTAGTCTATAGTCTAGTCTATAGTCTAGTCTATAGTCTAGTCTATAATCTAGTCTATAGTCTAGTCTATAGTCTAGTCTATAGCCTAGTCTATAGTCTAGTCTATAGTCTAGTATATAGTCTAGTCTATAGTCTAGTCTATAGTCTAGTCTATAGTCTAGTCTATAGTCTAGTCTATAGTCTAGTCTATAGTCTAGTCTATAGTCTAGTCTATAGTGTAGTCTATAGTCTAGTCTATAGCCTAGTCTATAGTCTAGTCTATAGTCTAGTCTATAGTCTAGTCTATAGTCTAGTCTATAGTCTAGTCTATAGTCTAGTCTATAGTCTAGTCTATAGTCTAGTCTATAGTCTAGTCTATAGTCTAGTCTATAGTCTAGTTTATAGTCTATTCTAGTCTATAATCTATTGAAAATTTGAAATTTCTGCGAAACTTTATGACCTTGGGTTGGAAAATGAATAAAAAAAATCGTATAAAGTTGGAACAGCCATACATATACATACAAATTGAAAAAAAAAATTTGTTGTTAAGAGTAAAGCAAAATAAAATGCCAACAAAAATAATTAATTTTTTTTTCAAGCTTGACTTATAATGAAAATTTCAGTCAATCAATTTACTCTCTCTCTAAGTCTCACTCTTGTTCCCGGTATTTCTATTTACTAAAAAATAAATAAATAATGACAATATAGTAAAACTCTCCCTCGTCGAAATAAAATTTACAATTGTATGGCACTGATGACGGCAATGAAGACGACAACAAACCTTGTTGATGATGATGATCATCATCAATCAATATTTTTTTTTTTTTTCTTTTTTTTTTTTTGTAAAATTTTCAAACGTTTTTTTTTTAACGGCCAAGAATATTAACTTTGCCAATAGAACGAATTGTTAAAACACGTACGCACTTCAAATGTAAAAAAATGTAAAAAAGTCAAATACAAGTTTGAAGAAAAAAACATGTAAACGTTTTATTTCTAGGCTTTCAAACTCATACTACAAACGAACAAAACAAATCATTTGAAATTGTATTTGAGGAAAAAAATAGAGTGTTTGTAACTGAATTGGTTTGCCAACGACTGTGATTGACGATAGAACTTACTGAAAAGAAACGCCACTTTTTTAGATTTTTTTTTTTAAATTTGTTTTTTTCAACGTAGTATTCTTTTTTTTGTTGTTGTTGTTTGGTTGTGCGTTAAAATGGTGTCACGTAAGAAAAGTGAAAGGGCCAAAAGCAGCGATGGCAATAAAATGTTTATAAAATAAACGGTGATAATGACGTATGGATAAAATAAATTTTAAATAAAAAAAATACAAGAAATTAAAAAAAAAACCGCGTTAAATTTATGTATGGTATTACAAATGGGTTTTAGATTTAAAGATTTTTTTATAAGTTAAACTTTTTAGGGAAAATTATTTAAAAAATAGTCTTTTCTACAGAAAAATGTGTGTATAACAGTTTTTTTTTACAAAAACAATTGTGTAACAAATTTTTCAACAGAAAAATGTATGTAAAACTGTTATCTCCAAATAATAATTAGAGTATAACAGTTTTCTTCTCAGGAAAACTTTGTGTATAACAGTTTTTTCAACAGGAATTCTTGTGTAACAGATTTTTGTATAAAAAAAAATTGTGTATAACAGTTTTCACTGTAGAATAATTTGGATATAACAGTTTTTTTCAGGAAAAAATTTTGTGTATAACAGTTTTTCTAAGGAAAATATTGCATATAACAGTTCCTTCCATACAAACAATTGTTTTAATTTGGAAAAACTTGTGTTTAACCGTTTTTTTTTATAGAAACATTTTTGTATAACAGTTTTTTCTATAGCAAAATTTATGTATAACACATTTCTCTATAGAAAAATTTGTGTATAACACATTTGTCTATATATTATTTAGTGTATAACACAATTTTTATAGAATATTTTGTGTATACCACATTTTTCTGAAGAAACATTTTTGTTCAAAATATTTTTCTATAGAAAAATTTGTTTGTAACACATTTTGTTCTCTAGCAATTATGAGTATAACAGTTTTTTACAGAAATTTTGGGTATAACAGTTTTATCTATAGAAAGGTTTTTGTATAAGAGTGTTTTCTAAGGAAAAATTTGTGTATAACTGTTATTCGTAAGAAATGTATAACAGTTTTTTCTATAAAAAATTATAGTATAACAGTTTTCTGTAAGGAAAATGTTTCATATAACTGCTCGATCCATTGAAAAATGTGTGTAAAAAGTTTTTCTATTTGTATATAACAGTTTTCTAATAGAAAATTCTCTGTATAACACATTATAGAAAAAATGTCTATAAAAGTTCTTTCTACACAAAAATGTATGTATAACTCATTATTTTTCTTTAAAAACTTTTGTGTAGAAAATATTTTTCTGTAGAAATATTTGTGTATAACAGTTTTTCTATAGAATGAATTACGTATAACTTAGTTTTGAGTAAAAAATATTGTGTATAACACATTTTTGTATTGAAAAGTTTAAATAAAAGTTTTTATTTAAGAAAAAAATTTTGTATAACAGTTTTTCTGTAAGAAAAAATTTGCGTATTTGTTTTTTATAGAAAAATCAGTGCATTTTTGTGTATAACAGTTTTTTCTTTAGAAAATTTTATGTATAACAGTTTATTCGGCAGAAAATTTTGTATAATAGTTTATGTATTAGTTTTTTTATAGAAAATATATTGTATAATAGTTTTTGCCATAGAAAATGGCAAATATAAGTATACCAGCTTCTTATAGAAATTTCTCCGTATAACAGTTTTATCTATAGAAAAGTTTTTGTATAAGAGTTTTTTCTAAGGAAAAATTTGTGTATAACTGTTATTCGTAAGAAATGTTTGTGTATAACAGTTTTTTCTATATAAAATGATAGTATAAAGTTTTCTTATAGAAAAATTTTTGTATAATACATTTCTCTACAAAAAAAGCGTATAACAGTTCCTTCTATACGAAAAAGTTTTCATTTAGAAAAAAAATGTTTTTAAAAGTTTTTCTATAGAAGTAATTTTGTATAACAGCAAAATTTATGTATAACACATTTCTCTATAGAAAAGTATGTGTACGACACATTTTGCTATATATCATTTAGTGTATAACACATTTTTCTAAAGAGAAATTCTTGTACAATGTATTTTTCTAAAGAAAAATTTGTTTATAACACATTTTTTCTCTAACAAATAACAGTATAACAGTTTTTTATAGAAATTTCTCCGTATAACATTTTATCTATGGAAAGGTTTTGTATAAGACAGTTTTTTTCTATACAAAATTATGGTATAACAGTTTTTTTTAAGGAAAATTGTTCGTATAACTGCTCTTTCCATTGAAAAATGTGTGTAAAAGGTTTTTCCGTTTGTGTATAACAGTTTTCTTATAGAAATATTTCTGTATAACACATTTCTCTTTAGAAAAAATTTCTATAACTGTTGTTTCTACACAAATCTTTATGTATAACTCATTTTTCTTTAAAAACTTTTGTGTGGAAAATAGTTTTCTGTAAAATTATTTGTGTATAACAGTTTTTCTATAGAATGAATTGCATATAACATAGTTTTGAGTAAAAAATATTGTATATAACACATTTTTGTATTGAAAATTTTGTGCATAAAAGTTTTTTTTAAGAAAAAATTCTTGTATAACAGTTTTTCTCTAAGAAAAAATTGTTGTATAACAGTTTTATCTATACAAATATTTTATGACTTTTTTAAAGAAAGAATTTTCGTATAACAGTTCTTCCCATTTAAAAAATTTGCGTATAACAGTGTTTTCTATTGAAAAATTTTTTCATTTTTTCTTTAGAAAATTTTATGTATAACAGTTTATTCCGCAGAAAATATTATAGAATAGTTTTTGTATTAGTTTTTTTGTAGAAAATATATTGTATAACAGTTTTTGCTATAGAAAATTTTGTGTATAACAGCTTTTTCTAAGGAAAATTTTGCGTATAACAGCTTTTTCTAAGGAAAAATTTTGTGTATAACACATTTTTTTAGGGAAAAAAATTATGTAAAATACATTTTACGAAGGAAAAATTTGTTTATAATAGTTTTTTGCATAGAAAATTTGGAGTAGAACACTTTTTTCTAAGGAAAAATTTCTGTATAACAGTTTTTTTTAGAAAATTTATTGTATTTTATTGAAATCCCCAAAAATTTAATGTCAGTCTTTAGTATCAACTTGTTCAGAAAATTACAAACAATTTAACACCCAATCAAGCCTGAAACAATTGAAAATTGTCATAAAAAATAAAGAAAATACAGTTATGGTTGTTTTAATACAACAAACGTTAATGGAATATAAATAACAATAAATAGACAAACCGACCGACAGACAGACATAAATAAACGAAGAAGACAAACCGGCGCAACAAAACAATAAACAACAAACAAATAGTAATATTTACAACAATTGAAAAGAAACTTTTGTCTAAAACCAATCACAACAATCCCCCTCCTAATAATCCAATAATAAAAAACAAAAGTTTGTTTTAAGCAAAACAAATCAAAAAGAAAGATTTGTTTAAAATTATAAGAAAACACAATTGTACAACTAACCTTTTTTCTTTTATTTATAAATTTGTCTCCATTTATTTCACAGCAAAGACCTTCTTTTCGCAGCAAAACACCAAACCTTCTCTTTCAGAAAGAATTATGCAAATTTCTTTTTTTTTATTTGTTTAAATTTTATTTTAATTTTGGCTTTTTTTGATTTTCACTTTTTTTATTCAAATTTTTTTTTCTTTGCGTGATTATTATAATTTTAATTTTATTACCTTTTTTTGCGCTTTGCTCTCTTGCCACAAAACTTTATTTTGCATATATAAAAAATTTTACTTTTTTTTATTGAAATTTGATTTTAATTTAAATGTTGTTTTGTTTTTGTTTTACTTTTTCTCAATATAAAATAAAAGTTTTATTTCTATATTTATATTGTAACGTTTGTTTTTGTATATATTTTTTTTAATAAAATTTATGACAAATAAATTTTGCTGATGTTGAGATTTAAGGGTTGCCAACAACGTTCGTTGAGTGTTTGTGGAGGGGAGAACAAGAGTAACAACAC